CACACACACCACACCACACACACACACACACCACACACACACACACACACACACACACACACACACACACACACACACACACCACACACACACACACACCACACACACACACACACACACACACACACACATATATATATATATATATATATCTATATATATTATATATATATATATATGTGTGTGTGTGTGTGTGTGTGTGTGTGCTTGTGTGTGCGTGGTGTGTGCGTGTGTGTGCGTGTGTTGTGTGTGTGTGTGTGTGTGTGTTTGTGCGTGTGGTGTGTGCGTGTGTGTGTGTGTGGGTGTGTGTGTGTGTGTTGGTGTGTGGTGTGTGTGTGTGTGTGTGTGTGTGTGTTTGTGTGTGTGTGTTGTGTGTGTTGGTGTGTGTGTGTGTGTGTGGGTTGGTGTGTGTTGTGTGTGTGTATGTGTGTAAAGTATCATGCACGGAATAATGTTCCTGGTACGTAATGCGACTTCACAGATCCGCACAGATGCATGTGATGCACCTGGTATAGTTGTATATATCTTCAATGCGCTTTTGACTGCTTGTAGCAATGTAAGTGCTTACGAGCGGACAGAATAACTGTGTTATTTTGGAATCATCCGATGCTTTAGGTATTTTTTTCGACGCGAGACCAAGTCTATCTGAGTCGCACATCTGAATGCAGCATGTTAGAATAATGCCGGCATGGGACAAAGGAAGCCAGAGAAAAACCTTGATACTTCTGTTCGGGGAAAAACTGCGGTTACATAGATAAACCACAGGCAGGCATATGCGGACGTCCCTATAGCCTTGGCCCAGAGGCTCAGAAGAGGGGCAAATCTTCCTGAGCTTGCCAGACATGAGCATGCACACTCTGCCAAACACACACACACACACACACACACACACACACACACACACACACACACACACACACACACACACACACACACACACACACACACACACACACACACACACACACACACACACACACACACACACACACAACACACACACACACACACACACACACACACACACACACACACACACACACACACACACACACACACACACCAATTGTGAGGGATCGTTAAGACGACCAAATCATGATTATTATTACAGGAACACTCAACTGCGTTGCATCTCGGTGCGCGTCAAGGGCTGAGGTGGGCCGGTGGCCTTGTACGACCACCTGTAAAATGTAATGGGCTTAAATACCGCCTTGACGTTATGAAGAGCGGCTACATTCATATTCCTTCGGCAAATCTACAGTGCATGCGGTTGCGCGCAAAAACTCATCGCCTTTTTTGCCTCGTGCGGCAAGCCGTGTTTGCTCGACAAGGAAGGACTTGACATCATTGAATACCCGGCATGGTGGGACACTGATATTGGCGAGGGTCGTGAACTAGTGACAATACTTGTCAACCTTGAATTTCGTTGCCGTGCAGCAAAGACAATGCTACAAAAACAGGCGTTTTAGTTCTGACGTCACCAGTTTCCCGGTAAGAAGCTTTGTATAGCGTTGGCGATAACACTCGCTTCCCAGTAAGGTAAGCAGCGTGTGTGGTGCATGCTTTAACTGTGTCGGTATATGCTCGATGTGGTATCAAACCTGTTGACGAGCGGGGGGAGGGGGGGGGGGGCGGGACTTTGGTATGGTTCTCACAACAAAAGGTTATTGACGGCATATCCATGGTCAGTTTCTGTTCAAGGTTTGTCAAAATTATGCCCGATGCTATTATCTTAAAATTTGGTGGCTTATGCTCACATTTTCTGGCGCGGTACTTTTTATGGGTGGAAACAGCCCATAAATGAGGCCTATAAAATAACTGTGCTCAATCACAAATGCGTCTTTTTCTAATGGTGTGTTATAGTTGTTAACTATGTACGCGTGAAAATAGATAAATCCGTTCCACTGCACCCAGTTGTCAGGACACTATGGTGAGAAAATTTTGGTGTATCTATTATGACTTTCATTGCAATAATTTGCATGCAGCGTATGCCTTGATGTTTCCAACATAGCCTGTTGACGATTGTGACAGTGCGAACGAACACCTCGCGAGAAATGAGATGAACCGAAGGAATGCAGAACGTTGTGGGATAGCTCGTCTGGATCCATTTCATTTTTCCCACAGATTATATACTTACTGCGCGACTCTTGCTCATTGCAAAACTTCACAACTTAAGCACTCAGATTTGAAAGCCCCATCGCAGTGTTAAGAAATCCTGCGAACCAGATGTCGACACCCAAGCAGCTTGACGACGCAGCACAGAAACTCCTATGGATTACCGCCATTCCTTTGATGAGAACTGTGCGATGGATGATAAACTGTCGGGAAAAAAACATGTGAAATGTCATATGATTGGTAAAACCGAGTTGGGCCGCTCAGAGTTTTGAGAGCATTTATTTGAAGCACGCAGTAAAGCGGCATATGCAACTGGGTGGTTTGGCCCTATGTGCTGTTTAACATAATGACCCTGTCAGATTTGTTGCATTTTGTCCGCGTCCGTTAATGATTGTGTCCGTTAAAAGATTTGGGCGGATATGCGGTGGGTGCGTTTTAAGACGCATCAGCTTCGCCGAAAATACTTAATTCCTAACTGAGCCTCTTTCTGCCATCGGGCTTGCGAGGGTAAAAAATGGAGGCCTAATAACGGATGAGCATTTACGAAAATCCTGCCATCTGGCGGGAACTAAGGTCATTGTGGGATTACAGCATCTGGAAGACAACTTATTGATCTCGGAACGTTCCTGAAGAACTCGGCATCATGGCAGAACGCACTCCGAAGACAGACTCTCAGCGGTTGTGCAACTAGAGGACTATCCCCTTCCTGTTAGGGATAGTCCCTTGACTATTCCCTTGACTATCCCCTTCCTGTTAGGGTCTCACATACGACTTCACATGTCAAGGTGAAAAGCACAGGGCAAAGATCAAATGTCAAATGTCAAAAGGCAAATGTCAAAAGCAAATGTCAAAAGCAAATGTCAAAGCAAATGTCAAAAGACAAAAAAACTCATTACCATGTCGGAGACTTTAAATGCTTTATTCGATAAATTTAGGCTGAGAGTATCAGTTCCATGTTTTTTTTAGCGGAAAGCTTGCATCCGCCTTCTTAGAGGTCACGATAATCACTGCATCTTGATGTGGAATATGTCTGTTCTCGTAACATATAACTCAGGCTTTTGGTTGACCTTTGATTGCGAGCCAAACATTTGTCCTTTGCCACGCAGGCACATCACAATAATTGTATCATCAACGTTGTGTTTGATTCGCATTTTTTGAGCAAGAAAAACCTGAAGTCCGAAACGGGAGCCTTCATTCTATCAATATTTGACGTTTAAATACGCCAGGACTTACTGAATTGCCACCTGGCATATCGAAGATCGAATATGGTCGGACATCAGCTGCTGGTTCATTTAACGGACTTTTTCTGACGATATTTTTGAAAATTTGCCTTCAGTTTGGAAAAAGACAAAAAAGAGCAGCGATTGCTGAAAGTGCACTCGGCGAGTAACACTGATACCGATTACCGCCACAGTGATCCTGAAATGTTCATTCGCTTTTTCTTTCTTCAAAACCATCCTCTTCTGTCTCCGAGATCAGGTATGCCGATGACCGGCGCACTGAAATGCACCATTTACAGGACGCACATTCAGTCGTTTACCCTCGGCTCATTCAAGAGTCACATCAGTTCAATCTCACGGAATGAAATCGCGTGCGCGCGCACCCAGCGTGAACCCTTGGGCCAGGGGAAAACACGAGCGAGGAAAATAGCGGTTTCGCATGTCGTGTCTTCGACACAAGAGGTCCTGTCATGCGACCGGGCTAGGCAGGTTGGCACGCAACAGGCACGCTTTCGCGGAATGACGTGTCATACGGCATGAATGACGTCACGACGGCAGGCTAAGTCCCTCCACCTGGGACCCCAGTGACTTGCAAAAAAGTTACCGCTGTGGATCTCAGCCCCTTGTGGTTGGTGGTTCATTAATCCTTAGTGGAAATTTCCGGCAGTGAGCTTGTTCAGACTTGACCTACTTGGCCGTGAACGAAGACGATAGGGGCTGAAAAGGAGCACGTCAGAAACGTAACCAGACTTAAATTTTGTTTAACATACTGTCCGTACTTAGCCAACGTCGCTGATGTTCTATAGAAAATGAATATCAACTTCACACGTCTAACGTTGTTCAAAGTTAGTTCCAGACATAGGCATACCTTGGACGTATGACTTTTTGTTCAATGCGACACATGTGACATATTCTAGACATTATGGGACTCCATTACATCATCTGTCTTCACAGAATGCTCATAACTGTGCGAAATGTTTCAAACATTTAAAAAGACGATGAAATGTTTGGTATTTTGGACAGTCCAAAAGCTATCACGTTCAGGTGAAAATGTTTCTCTAACTTTAAGAAACTGTACAGTAAGCGGGGTGGCGTTAAGATGAATTAACCCATAATATTGACAATCAAAAACCTTTCCCAAAACCTTCAAACTCTTACATAATGTGCCTGCCAAAGACTTTCCCACAGACGCACATTATTGGTTCCTGAATTTTCTGTAAATTACGCACAACACGCTGCCTGTCTGCGCCCCAGCTTCTACGCAACAAGTTGTTGCACTGCACAGGTCGCCGCGAAGCTTTTGAAATTTCCTCGGCGATGCATCACCGGCTTCTTTGCACGCCTGCGTGAGCAGCGTCAGATTGCAAGGCTTTCGGCTGTGCAGCTCAAGCAGCTCGGTGCAATGCTAACATAACCGCACGCAATGCCAATTGATATGTCCCGCCACGTGACATTGCGACTCGAGGGCTCTCATTCGGCGAGATATTTTGAAACGCCATCTGTCGAAACGGCAGGCTCGGCTGTAATGATCATGCCCCACAGTGGATGAAAGTACAGTGCAGACTTTTTCTATACGCAGTTTGTTTTAAGTTGAAGCTGAGCGAGGACGGCTTCCGAAAAGTCACCCAAATGCGCGTACATGCGCATTATCCAAAGCACGGAAACATGGGTGCCGCCAGTGCGCCTGCTACGGTATCTCATTTGCAGCTCCCAACGTTAACACACCTCCGAGTTGGCAAAGGGTCTCCACCACGGACGTCGAGCCCACGGCTCGGCTGATTGGCGGCGGGCGAGCTCGCCGGCGACCGGGCCGGCTGCAGTGAGAGCTCGGGCGCTCAAGGACGCCGGCAGGGTGTGCGGCTGATCAGCGCTCACGGCGCCCGACACAGATCGTGGCCCCATTGCAGCACGGCGCCACGACCCGCCCTGCCCCTGCCCGCCCCACCCGATCCGGCCGGGCGCACACAAGCTGCCTGTGGCGCTCTCCCGTCGCCTCCACGGGTAGACGGCGTGGGGAGCTAGGGTACTGCTTAGGGAGAAGGGGTGGGGGCACGTGCTCCCCTTATCAAATTTGACCGGCATTAATACGAACGTGAATAAATGTTGATCATTAAAATGTCAGGACAGAAACGTAAATAAGCAGTTAACGATAAAGAAGTTCACTGAAGTTGAGTTCTTTGAAAACTTGCGAAGCTGTACACCATGCTAAGTTATGCACCACGCACAAAATTTTGCGCGCTTCTGGCACTAAACTTAATTA